GGTTTTTTTTTTTTTTTTTTTTTTTTTTCATCACATGGGAGAGTTATTCAAATCTCACATGGGATGGCAATTGAATTAAAGATTTAATTTTAGCACAAAGAACATGTGATGAAAAAGGAAAATGAATGGCTCATAACAAAATATGTCCATTTGTTTTCAATAACTTTCTTATAAAAGATAATGCATGAAACAACAAACTTCTCATTTAGGGTTTCTTTGAATAACAAGTTGGATGCTAAAGTTGATGAGTTTGGTACTCTCTCTATATTGCAACCTCCCATTATTATCCTTTCTGCCTAACTTTTTCTACCTAATGTTTTCTCATCTTTTATATATATATATCTATATATTTTCTCGTTCTTTTAAGTTTTAGGTCGGGCGGTGATGATTCAGCATGATATCATAGTGAGAGATTGTTCGGGTTCAAATTCTTGCAACTTCATGTTTATTTGGACATTTTGTAACACAAATTAATTTCGTAATCGACCCGTAAGTTTAAAATTCTGGGTTTAAGAACGATTTAACTATTTTGAAAGAATTCGTTCGTGAGATCCCACATCGGTTGAAATGGGGAACGGGGTGTGGAAACCTCCCCTAGCGCGTTTTAAAAACTTTGAGAACAAGCTCAAATAGAACCACATCTATTAGTAGTAGGCTTTCATTAATATTTTTATTATTAATTTTTCTAAAGCTACTTATAGAAATACATATTTTTTCCGAGCCTAACTCTAAACGAACTAAATGCGATGAAAAAGTTTCAAAGGTTCAAATTCCGAGAGAAATAAGTTAGAAAACGATCATGTCAGTAATTATAGTACGATAGTCATGTTAAATTTTTCCTAATATATATTACAAACTTTTCCATACTCCTTACCTAATCATTTTAACCTTAAAAAAACCTTAGATTTCAATGGAAAATTACATATTATCTTTTTATAATTAAAACTTTATAATAACGACGAAATGATAGCTCCAATCACAAAAACCCGATCAAATGATAACAAAACGCAACAAAGTTAACAATTCATCGTGCAAAAATCTCAGCACTATTGACCTTATGTTCGTAAAACAGAAATGGCGAACGACCAAACCACAACTATTATGACACCGACGGGTGAGTGTTTTATTAAAGAAAAATATTGAATGAAAGAAGGATGAGCGTGTTTACGAACGTACTCGACATGTGATAATATGTTAAAATGAGTGGATGTGAATGTGGGGAATGACATGTGAAAGACTTATAATTTGCTTAAGTGAGCAATGCAAGAGTTAGGTTCACGTCGATCTCTGAAGGCTGCATGGCCATGCACGAGAATGGGTTATGTATTTATGCAAAAGATGAAGAGGAAAAAGGCTTCATTTGCTTGACAATAATTATGTGTATGGCTACGTGTCAATTTCTTGTGGCTTTAGTTTGGTTAACAATTATAAGCTTCATTTAATAGAAAAGAAAAAAAGAAAAGCAATTGTTTTCAAAGTTATTTTAATAATTATTTGGTAATAAATAAATTAGTATATTTTCGTTTATGTCGTCTCGATCGTTGATATAGAGCCAGATATCTCGATAACTATTCGATCTTGTTGAGTGGTGTTAAGTGTCACGGTTATGCCTATCCAAGGTGTGTTGCTTGTGGTCGCATGTCGGACGTCCTAGTCACGTGTTGTCTATAGCGGCTTTCCCATTCCAAACCCCTTTTACTTGCTTTCATACTAGATAGACTTTTACTACTGTTGTCATATCAATATGCAGGTGTATGA